CAACTAGCAGTAGCGTTGTTCGCAGTAGATCGCTACTACTATGTGTAGCCTGTCGGCTTGGCAGTGGGAATTTCAGTAGTAGCGCTTTTATCTTCAGGCGTGCTACTACTAAAATTGTATCTATAACGCGGTTTGCGCCAACGCGCTACTGCTACATAGCACTAGCGTGCTTTTTTAACACGCGCTACTGCTAAAGTTCTGTGTATAAGGTTTTCCCTAGTAGTGGGGAAACGACACATGAATGCCGTCGTCATCCGATCAACTCATTTAGGGTTTCCCCCGGAGTTACTGGGTGGGTTTGAGATTTGTACCTCGATGATGCCTTCATGAAGGAAACAATGATAAGGGCATCGTCATCACCGGCTCCGGCCAACGACCGAAGATCAAGTTTTCACTCGGATCCTTCCCAAGAAATCCACCCGACAACCTGTGCACTGTCTCGACCGCCTTCAAAGCCCCAGATCTAGTCGCCTAGATCCGGCGACCAACCGCAACAGCAGTGCCACCGTAGGAGCCCTGGCAGACCGGCCACTGCCTGAATGCGCCACCACTGGAGCCTGGGAGGAGGACTCCCACCCCACCTCGCCAAACCGCAAGAGCCGCCGAGATGGATCCCGCACGCTCATCACCGTCTCTGATCGGAACCAATCCGTGGCAAAACCACAAGATCGCCGACACAGATTCGCCTTGGATATGGACTGCACCACGCCATGCCGCCACGGAAAGCCCGAGCTTCACCCGCCGCCACCGTCCAGGGCCGCCGCCCCAGGGTCCTGATCTGGCCAGCCCGGACCTCCACGGCGCCCTCTTCACGCCGTCGGCGCCGGCTCGCCACCAGGCAACCGTGCCGCCGCCCAAGGCCTCCGCCCAAAGCACGCCGTCGTGCCACCATGGATCAGATCGTCGCTGCGCCATCACGCGCGTGGAGGTCCCGCCCCACCCCCTCCGACTTGATCCAGGGAGGAGAGCATCCCCCACCACCGTTGGCCTCCGGGCTTAGCCCGGCGGCATCCTCCAGCAGCGGCAAAGGGAAGGGAGGGATGTGGTGGTGACCCTGGCGGCTAGGGTTTCGGGAGCCGCCCGAGTTGCCCGAGACGGGGCGACGCGGCCAGTTTAGAATATTATTGATGCCTTCCAGCGTTCAATGAATCAGTGATGTACCATGTCTTGTTGAATATTTACATTTATGCGAGGCTGTGAGCGCTGTGGCGGTGGATGTGTACCTCAAGCCTCAAGAGCGTTCAGGGAAATTCCCAGCTGAAGCTGATTGTTGTGTTGTTTTCCATTCACCGCTCATGAGGGCAATTTGTCTTCTTTGTTCATCTCCCAACTATGCTTTGGTACAAGAAGTATCGTTTCTGGGTAGTCCAAGAGTGCAGGGGTTTCCTTGGGAACAGCCGGGTTTTGGCTCCCTCAATGATTTGTCATGTATGAAACGAGTAATTTACGCACTCATATTGTTATATTTTGAAATTATTCATTTTCTTAAAATTGTTTGTTTTGTAGTTCAGTGCTGAGGTGGTTAAATTATTAGAATTTTTGGCGTTGATAAATCATTATTTATTTATTTGGCATCAGCAAATCATTATATTAGTACTGCCAAGCATTTGTGGACTATTTGCAATGCCGTTATTTTCCTACCACAGTCATTCAAATAATAATGCACCTCCAATTCATATTGAAAAATTATATGTATTGTCAAGATTTTATCAAATAAATATCTTTTATTATTTTCTCAAGCTGTACGAGCATGGTAACGCGCGCCTTAATTATCTACTATAATATTATGATAAAGCCCAGTAATTGCTATCTGAGCCCGGGCTCATTTACTCCCTCTGAACAATAAAATTTAAAATAATAGCAAAAAGTTCCACAAAAATCTGATTTTTTTTACGCAAGATGCTTGAGTGCATGATGCCCGTGCCAAATTTGGTGGAGCTCATGAAAAAACAAAAAAAAAATCTCCAAACAGTGTGTTTTTTCAAATATTCTTACACCGAAAATTTATTTTATTGCATATCTTTGCACGAACACATGCAAGCATGCTTAAAAGCAGTGGATAACCTGATTCTTATAGGCAGTGGTCAACAAGGACTTATAACCGGGGACAGACAAACTGAAACAACTGCAATAGTTATCGAATCTATATTAAACCAAAAGCAAATGAACTCAAGGGGCACAAATGAGAGTGAGACATTGTATTCGGAGGGGCGTTTTTGCTCCCGAGAGCATGGGTGAACAGTAATGCAACAAAAATAATAAATGTTTTCAAAAAATTCTGAAATTTTTCTTGGATGTTCGAGTTAGTGTCACAAGCATGTTTGAAAATTTTCATGCGAAACGGAGCACCAATGTTTCGTCGTTGAAAGAAACAAATTTGGGGTGACATTTGGTATTCAATTTGTTGTTGTTTTTTTTGCACAGGCCAAAATGCTTAACCATTTGGCTCAAAATTTACAGGTAGCATTTGGATGTTACTAATAAGTAAGAAAACATGAAAATTTTCTCTTGATGTTTTTCACATTTAAAAAGAAATTGGGCCTGGGAGCACATGGTCCCGGGAGCCGAATTGAATTTCTGATTTTATTGTGTTTATGTCGCGATTAGACAAAAATACTCAACTATGGCAGAATTAGTTCAAATTATTTCATGCCAAAAAAATATAAAAATTTCTGAATTGTTTTGCTATGTTTTTTCATTGTACTGTTGATCCACCAGAGCAAATGAGACTGGAAGCCAAATCGCCTAGTACATCAGTCTACTTAGTGTATTTGCTACAGACAGGATGGATATGCGCTGCTTAACCATTGTATAAAAAAAAAGATCGAGAACGGAGGATCAACCCCTGTCATCAACATCGGTTGGTGCATTCATCCATATATTTTTGTTTACTGCACAATGCCAAGCAACGCCTAGCATCATTGCCGACCCATATTTTGGTTGATGAACATCTCTTGATAAGATGCAGCATCGTGTAATGAATCCATCATTCTTGATCAGTGACGATCTACCTAATGATTTCATGACTGGGTGCGAGAGGCGGCGTACATATATACATGTTGGGATGACAAGGCAAACCTAGATCCCATCGCAAGCAAGCTGCAGGCCGAAGGCTTTTCTTATTTTCTATAATGTATCTACGGGTTGATGATTGTTGGGGGTCCTTGTTAATTCCTGCATCCATCTCTTTATTGTTTGCATCATTATATTCTACGAGGTGGTGGACGGCGATGATGACACGCTCAACGAAGTGGAAGATGAGATACACGCCCGACGACCTGCTCTTCACAACCTCCCAAGGTATAGCAAGTCGAACATGCCCATCAGTGCCGGCCGGCCGGCCCTTAACTTTATTTTTCTTTATCCCAGGCTGCAACGGTGCCCATCAGCATCAGGCATTCCTAGGATTCAATGTAAACTATAACCCATCATAGGTTGGAAGGTTACACTGACTGACTTATGATGATACCAACCTTTTTGAAGCGATCAAGTCTTGCAACAACCACATGACAAACTAAGCCAAGCTAGTATATATATAGAACATGCAAAGGGTACATGGCAACCAAACCGAGAGTGCATACAAAGAGAGGTAAAACAATAGGGGTCATCGCATCGCCATGATCTTACTACGGTCACTTGTCGCCGTCCTGTTGATCTTTACTGTGAGTGCGGGCGATGAGGCCGCGCTGCTTGCTTTCAAAGCAAAGCTCAGCCATGGCGACTTGCTGGCCTCCTGGAACAGCAGCACCAGCTTCTGCAGCTGGGAGGGCGTGACGTGCCACCGCAGGCCGGCGCGGGTGGTGGAGCTGAGATTGAATGGCACTGGTCTCATGGGAACACTCTCACCGCTCATCGGGAACCTCACGTTCCTGCAGATGCTCGATCTGGACTCCAACTCGCTCCACGGGAACATTCCGGCGAGCCTTGGTCATCTTCGCCGCCTGCATGGGCTATACTTGAGCAACAACTTCTTCTCCGGCACATTGCCAGCAAACCTGAGCTCATGCATCAGCATGACTGAAATGTGTGTGGACAACAACACGCTTGGCGGGGGCATCTCGGCTAAACTTGGAGAGAAGCTCACATATCTAACATTTATGTCGCTCAGAAACAACATCTTCACAGGGACAATCCCGATGTCGCTGGCCAATCTATCCAACCTACAGGTCCTCGACCTCGCCGACAACCAGCTCGTGGGATCGATCCCACCAGGGATCGGTAGCATCCAAAGCATGCAGTATTTCAATCTTGGCAGAAACCTCCTCACTGGTATGCTCCCACCTTCTCTCTTCAACTGGTCATCTTCCATGGAAGTATTTGCTGTAGTGTTAAATATGTTGTATGGAATTATTCTAGATGATATCGGAAGCAAGTTCCCCAATTTGAAATATCTTCTCTTGGGTGCCAATAACTTCACAGGAACCATCCCTTCCTCAATATCCAACATATCTTCCCTCATAACACTTCAACTCGCGCATAACCGATTTAGTGGGTATGTGCCTTCCACATTGGGGAGGCTCGGAGGTCTCCAGCAACTGATCTTAAATTACAATAAGCTTAAAGCGAATGATAATAAGGGGTGGGAATTCATCACATCTTTGGCAAACTGCAGCCAACTACAACACTTGGGACTCGGCTCCAATTATTTTGAAGGACAACTACCAGCTTCAATTGTGAACCTGTCAATAAGTCTCCAGAAGTTATACATAGCGGACAATAGGATCTCTGGGAGAATCCCAGCCGACATCGGCAATTTGGTTGGTCTCAACAAGCTTGTGATAGAAAATACTTCCATTTCTGGAGTAATTCCAGAGAGCATTGGTAGGCTACAGAATTTGATCGAGCTATTCTTGTCCAATAATTGCTTGTCTGGTCTCATACCATCATCGCTAGGGAACCTTTCACGGTTAAGTGTCCTTTCTGCATACAATGGCAAATTGGAGGGGCCAATTCCGGCAAGCCTTGGGGAATTGAATAAACTTTTTATACTCGATTTGTCAATGAACTACCATCTTAACGGTTCAATACCCAGAGAGATTTTCAAATTACCCAGCCATTCTTGGTATTTGGACTTGTCATACAATTCCCTTTCTGGCCCCCTTCCTAATGAGGTTGGTAGTTTGGTAAATCTTAATCGACTGACTCTATCAGGAAACCGGTTGTCTGGTAAGATACCCGACAATATACAGAATTGCTTAGTGCTGGAATGGCTATCACTAGACAATAATTTGTTCGAGGGAAGCATACCTCAGTCACTAAAGAATATAAAGGGGCTCGGTATATTGAACCTGGCCATGAATAAGTTCTCTGGTAATATTCCTGAGGCCCTTGGAAGCATTGGATACATGAAGGAACTGTACCTATCACACAACAACTTGTCAGGGTTTATCCCGTTAGTTCTACAAAATTTGACATCATTGACCAGATTGGATATATCCTTCAACAATTTGCAAGTTGAGGTGCCAAATGAAGGTGTTTTCAGAAACATCACTTACTTAGCGGTTGTAGGGAATATCAATCTATGTGGTGGAACACCTCAACTTCATTTGGCTCCATGCTCCGTAAGCAAGAACACAGAAAAGATTCCAAAGTCTCTTGTAATTTCTCTAGTGACAGCTGGAGCATTCTTGTTCTCACTTTCAGTTATTCTTCTTATTTGGACACTTAGCAAGAAGCTCAGACCTAGCAAGAATATATTTGCACAAAATTCAATCCTTGATGACCATTACAAGAGAATCCCCTATAATGCATTATTGAGAGGAACAAATGAATTTTCAGAAGTCAACTTGCTTGGGAGAGGAGGTTATGGTGCGGTTTATAAGTGTGTTTTGGATACTGAAGAAAGAACATTGGCTGTCAAGGTGTTTAATCTTGGTCAATCCAGGTATTCCAAAAGTTTTGAAGCTGAATGTCAGTCCATGAGAAGGATACGACACCGTTCTCTCATTAAGATCATCACTTCTTGTTCAACCGTCAACCACCAAGGTGAAGAGTTCAAGGCATTGGTTTTTGAGTTCATGCCCAATGGTAACCTGGATGGTTGGCTTCATCCCAAATCTCAAGAGTCCACAACAAACAACACGCTCAGCCTTGCCCAGAGGCTTGCTATCGTTGTTGATATTGTAGACGCTGTAGAATATCTGCACAACTATTGCCAGCCATTAGTTATCCATTGTGATATTAAGCCAAGCAACATTCTTCTTGCCGAAGACATGAGTGCCCGAGTTGGAGACTTTGGCATATCAAGGATCCTTCAAGAAAATACAATTGAAGGGATGCAAACTTCATATAGCTCAACTGGAATTAGAGGTTCCATAGGCTATGTTGCTCCAGGTGACTAAATCTCTTCTAATTTTATATTTTACTTTTCACTCAAATATGACATGCTAACCACAAAACATTGCATATTGCAGAGTATGGAGAAGGTTCTGCAGCCTCAACAGCTGGTGATATTTATAGTCTTGGCATATTGCTGCTTGAGATGTTTACTGGAAGGAGCCCAATAGAAGGCACGTTCAGGGATTCATTGGATCTGCACAGGTTTGTCGAGGATGCTCTTCAAGACAGAACCTTTGAGATAGCTGACCCGACAATGTGGCTGCATGGCGGACAACATGATAACACTACAAGTATCAGAATCCAGGAGTGCTTGGTCTCGGTCTTCAGGCTTGGTATATCCTGCTCAAAGCAACAACCTCGAGACCGAGCATTGACAAGAGATGCAGCGGCTGAGATGCACACAATCAGAGATACGTACCTGAAATTCACAGGCGAGCACGGAGCAGAAAGAGAGGCCTCGACTCGAGAAATCCAGAACATTGTTGAATAAACAAGCTGGTAGAAGACATGATCCTTCATAATAATCAAATTATGTATCATTTCAATTCATAATCATTCTCAAGGCTATGTCGCTCTACAATTGTATTAAATAAATGCACAACCATGGGGTTCTGTAATAATAGCACTAGAGCAAGTTGAAGGAAGTTTCAGAAATCAAGCAATGTAATTGTTTTCCATTTTTAGAAGTGTAATCATACAAGCTATATTATTACTTCAAGCTTCAATTAAAGTAGTAGACTTGAAGTTCTAGAGAGTTTGAGAAGTTCTTTTTTCTTTTCTTATTCTTATTTTTTCCAAGCAAATGATCCGAATTTATTTGTTTGTATTACTATAAGGAAAGCGAAGCCTGAAAATGTTGGCACAAAATTTGAGAAGTTTTAGATGTGTACCTCATGTTTGTCCGTCAGCATGAAGGATGGAGCAAAAGGGGAGCCTCGGCTCGAGCCATTCGAGCTGGAGCAATATGATCCTGCAATTACACAAACTGCTTCAGTTAGCAAGCATTCGCTTGTTATCGAGGCCATTTTGTTGCACTATATCAGATAAATGTAATGTAAAATCATCCTAGCGTTGTGCAATAGCACTTCAGCAGCGGTTGGCGCCAGCATATTACATACTCCCTCCGTTCACTAATATAAGATGTTTTTGATATTTCGATATGGACCACATACAAACTCAAATGAGTGAACAAACACACTAAAACACGCCTAAATACATCCGATTCAGAAAAAGTTAGAATATCTTATAATAAAGAACAGACAGAATAGCTTTTAAGAAATTCCTAAGATTCGAGAAATTACATACTCGATGCAGTAATCAGCAGTCACTACTAGGAAAAGGGCTATAGATGGAATTGACACTAATGGCACACCATGTGTTGGTACGCCATTAGTGTCCAAATATTAATGGCGCACCACATCCACGGTGCACATTGGTAAAAAAAAATTTATTATTTTTTTAAAACTACTAATGGCGCACCGTGGGAGTGGTGCACCACATCCACGGTGCGCCATTAGTGAATTTTTTTAATTTTTTTTTCAAAACTAGTAATGGCGCACCGTGGGGATAGTGCGCCATTAGTAGTTTTAACTAGTAATGGCGCACCACTCCCACGGTGCGCCAACTTGGCCCAAAATTCCACCGAATGCACCCCCCGGACCGCCTTTTTAGTATTAAAAAAAAGAAAATAATAAAAATATCAAAAAAATAAAAGAAAATAAGTTCCCATGTGATATGTGGTCTAGTTGTTGGAAAAATTTACAAATATGAATTTCGACCTTATTTGCAAAATCTCTCTGGAAATTTGTAAAATGGGCATAACTATTGCATACGAACTCGGATTAAAAAGTTTTTTATATGAAAAATCATCTACTCGGAACCCCATTAAACATTTTCAAAATCACCAAAAACCTAACAGAAAAAAAGTCACGGGGCTTTCAAGATCTAGAGGCAAAAAAAAATCAAAAAATTTCAAACTTACTAGTGGCGCATCGTGGATGTGGTGCGCCAGTAGTAACAGAAAAAAAAATGGTTTTGAATTTTTTTTTAATTTTTTTCAAAATATGATATGTAATATGACCGGGAAGTTTGAAATATTTTTCAAAATTTCATCATAGTGAGTCAGTAGTGAGTCAGTCACACTGCTAATTAACAAAGTATATACTGTCCATATGTGCAGAAAATAAAAACATAAGGTACGCTAGGCAGTAGCGGTAGCAGAAATCGACCCTGATAAATATTTCACAGATACAGTAAGATATTAAAACATATGCACAGTATGATTAGTAACCAAAAACAGTCCAATTAGCACCCAGAACCAGTTAGAAGATTACAAAGCTTAACAAGAATATGATCTCACAGAGCCAGGAACTAATGAGCCGAGGATAGAGATTAGAAACATTACTTGTGTTGAGGATTTCTGAGAAAACAGTAGACATATAAGTAGACTGAACTTGTCTCTTCCAATTGTTGACATGTTGCAGTACATACTGTTTAATAAAGGTTCATTTTCCATTCCCTCAAACAAAAATAAGGTTAATTTGCCATTCTTGTACCTAATATACTTTCAGAGACCAGTTTTTTTCAGAGACCAGTTGACCGTAAAGAAATAAAATGTATATTTCTAGAGTTAAAATCTCATGATTATTGGTCGCATATGAGAAGGCACACTATCTGATTATCATTTCTCCTACACAAGACTAGCACAAAAGTTGTTGGTGGTTCAGAGACAAAAGGCAGGAGTATTGCAGGAATGCAATGTTATGAGGAAACGGATCTGATAATCTCTCTCTCCCCGCACACACTTTTCCCGAAACAAAACTGGGCCGGGATGAGAGATGGAGTGAGAGGCGGAGGGGCATTAGGCTGCCTGGGGCGAGCCATGGATCCACTTCCGCGGCCGCGCGCGCTGAAGGAGAGGAAAAGCTCGTACCTTTGGTCGGTGCGTCGACCGTGACTGCCGTCCGGCTTAGTCGCAGGCGAGGCAGGGCAGGCCGGCGAGGTCGCAGGTGAAGAAGGTCGATGCGTCCTAGGGGCAGGTACTCCGGTCGCCGGAGATCCCTCGCACGGCGGCGGCGGGGGAGTGGGGATGTTCTTTCGGGTTGGCTGAGCAGACACAGAAAACAGAACGAATCGTGGCGTGGCAAAAGAAAGGAAAAATGGTACTCCCTCCTAACCAAATTAATAATTTCTTCGAGATAAACTTCTAATCTATTCATCATCTGTCATGGCAACACTACATATAGAACACCACAGAAGTAAAAAATATTACAACCAACTCCATGGACCCAAATTAATGGCCAATGCTAGGCGCCGGCGCACTGGCCCAGAGTTTCGGTTGGTCGCACGCTAGTCGTCAGATGGTCCTGTCCCGAGCCATGGGATCCTTATCCACCTCAGGTCATCTTC